ATAGAAGCAGTTAACTCAATGGTGTAATATATAAAAGAAAGATTTCATGTAAGGATATAGAACAGAAAGAAAGATATGAAGTATTTTAATCTCATAGTTTAAAGGAAGATGAAGAGTGTATACACTGACGCCATTGTGATCGATTTTGAGCCATGTCACCAAGAGTCTCCAGCCACTCGTTACGATAGTCACGAGGACCCCAACCAAGTAGTCTGCATCTCCCAACATAGCTCAGACTAGAAGTTAGTGACTTTAAGCACTGATGCCACGTCTTGGTTTGGCCGCCCCTAACTTTCTTCCAACACCAGTCAGCATTGCGCTTCGTGGTAATCGGTGGTTCGGGCATACGTGACACGTGGCCCAACCATCTCAGTCGATGAAGATTCACGACCTCATCAACTGATTTACCATCATTCCATAATACCCTGCGTCGAACCTCACTATTACTTACCCGGTGATCTCACTAGATGTGAGCAATATTTCTAAGACACCTGTGGCCAGATACTAGTAGCTTACGAGTGTCTTCTACTGTTAATGGCCACGTTTCGCAGTCGTAAAGTAAAACAGAACGAGCTGCCGCGTAGTATACTCGTACCTAAATTGATAGATGGATAACTCGCCTTCGCTATAGATGACGAAAGTTAGCAAATGCAAAACAAGCTTTTCGCATCCATGCTGAGAGGATTGGCTATGGGGTCAGTAACCACACAAAGTAGAAAACAATGTTGCCAAAAAACGCGAACCAGATTAAAAAAATTCAATCAATTAAACTCTTTTCCCAAGTTCAATGATCTTCATTCAGTACGATTATGACGCCTCATGGTGAAAGACGAGATTCTTCCGAAGTGGCCAAGATCAAACTGAAGCTAAAGAAGCAATGGACAACTGGGAAAACAGCATTACAAAGGTTTAATACATACTTCCTTCCACATACTGACAAACTCAACCAATTCAACATAGCACTCAACAACAGGTTCCAGGTCTTACAGGATCTACTCAAAGAAGAAGAAGCTACTATGGGGAAGAACTGGAAATGGATCAGGAAAACACTAACTTCGACGTGTCAGGAGGTTCTGGGTTGCAAGGAGCATCACCAAAAAGGAGTGCGTCTCTACGGAAACCCTGTTTTGGATTCACGAAAGGAAGAACACGAGGGCAGAATTTAACGACAATCGAACAAGAACAGAGAGATCCAAGGCACAAACTGAATACACCGAAGCAAACAAGCAAGTAAAGAAGAGCATTAGAGCTGACAAGCAGAAATATGTGGAACAGCTAGCAACGACGGTGGAAAAAGCTCCAACTGAAGGAAATAAAAGACAACTATATGACACGACGAAGAAACTGGTGGGCAATTATAGTAAACCAGACAGACTGGTTGAGGACAAAGAAGGCAAGACAATCACTGAGATTCGAGAACAGAGGAACAGATGGGTAGAACACTTTGAGAAACTCATGAATAGGCCAGCTCCATTGAATTCACTGGACATCGAAGCAACACACACAGACCTTCCTATAGATGTCACTCCACCAACGATCGGAGAAATCAGTTGTGACCATCAGACAAATCAAGAGTGGGAGAGCAGTGCGACCTGATAGAGGAGGAACAAGTGCCACAGACAGACTGGAAAGAAGGACACCTCACCAAGATACCAAAGAAAGGAGATCTGAGCAAATGTGAAAACTACCGATGCATAACACTACTATCGGTACCAGGATTGGCAAAGCAAGGGCAACATTCCTATAATTCTACAACATATGAAACTCAAAACAACTGTCTCTTAACCAATATCAAAGTGACAATCTTCAATACGAACGTCATGACAGTTCTACTGTACGGAGCTGAAACTTCGAGAACTATTACAACCAACACCAAAATGATACAAGTATTTATAAACAGTTGTCTACGTGAGATACTCAATATCCGTTGGTCGGATATCGTCAGCAACAGCCTACTGTGGGAGAGAACAAACCAGCCTCCATCTGAAGAGGAAATGAGGGAAAGACTCTGGGAGTAGATAGAACATACATTGTGGAAATCACGAATCACCAAACAGTCAAGTATTATTCATAAATTTATATAAGTATGTCTAAAACTGGACGATTTTACTGGGATTAAGATAGCAAGGATAGCAACTGTTAACCATACGCCGTAATTATACGAATTCGAAACCTATTGAATCGTGCAAAATTCGGACACGTGTAACTGAGAGCTGAGTGTCAGACAGGATGAAATTAATCGTCCTTTTAGTGACTGACTGGTACTTGGTGTCAACGATTTGACTAATAAAATATTGTTTTGGATAATTATCTCATTATTTTATTTTAACACATAGATATTGGTACAAGGAGGCACCAAATACATATGCGCCACACAAATCTCATTCGATATGTGTGAAGGCTGTGATACTACCCGGGTGCCCAAACCGAAGCAGGTGGTTTTCTTAGGGGGCCACTCCCCGAGCCTTCGATCTGAAGGCCTGGTCCACAAGGCAGTGGAGCGTCGTAAGGAGATGCAGTCCCATGGAAGCCGGTGACCAGCAATTGGTTCATATGCCATTTGTTCCCGCAGGATACTGGAGCCCATGTGCATCATTGGTTTGGAATCCGGTTAAAGCGCCAGACATTCGCTTTTCGTCCTCTCATTTTCGTAAACAACACCCCCGCCACGAGAAGGCAGTGGGTAGGACTTCCCTGGCAGAGGCTATATACGCGTGGCCATGTGAGAGCATTTCGAGAAGGAGAGTTGACTCTCCCCACTCTCGGCTGTACCGGTGCATTTGGTGGCTGTTTTTGGATAAAGTTGTGGCTAATTGTTCAAAATCTCTAGTTAATGAATCATTCTCTTGCTTTTTTATGAAATCCGAGGGTAAAACTACTATTATATAAAACTACGTCTGTGAATCCTAATACAGTTATCATGTGCAACATTATATATATATCTGAAAAATTCGTTCGTAACTGCTATCTTAACGAGGTAGTTAAACTTGTCTATGGTGAGGACTAAACCGAGATATATCATCTTTAAGGTTCTACTGAGCAAGATAGATCAGTTGAAGAGAGTCGTAAGACTTAAATGCGGGATGACAATCGCGAACAATCGATCGAAGGCTTTAAGTAAAATGGATTAAAATCGGACGCAGTTGCAAAGACAAATTCAGTTTGTCTTCTTTCACAGATCAATTACTTCTGTTTTTCTTTTCTAAACCATACTTTCTATACTTAATATCTCTTTTATTATGAACAACAACAATTAGTATTATTATTATTATTTGAGTACTTCGACTCTAACGCTGTTTATGTCTGACCAACTGTAAATTTGAAAGACTGAATCATTTATCAAGTAAAACCTAATTTTATTTTACTTTCAATTTAATATTGATGATAATTATTTTTTACTTAAAGGGAGAATACTTATTTAAGTGTTGTATCTACACTTTAAAACAACAATGGTAATGACCATAATATGAAGTCAAAATCGACTAAGTTTATATATTTGGAAGTATTAGAGCCATACTGTATGAAATTGAAGCTAATATATTTTTAATGTATATTAGCAAGACTGAACAAATCAATTAAAAGTTATCGCGTTATATTTACTTCATAGGTCATCTAATCACATGAAAAATAACCATGCTTACTATGAATACTAGCGAATATGTCGGTGGCAACCATTTTGTAAACTTTTAATGATAAAAAATTGTAAGGTGGAGTGGAAACATTTCGATAAGGATGACGATACTACCCAGATACCATAATTCCGAACAGTAATTATTCAGTTTTCTAAATTATACCTTTTAATAATAAAAATGATTAACAATAAATTGTGGCTGAGACATCTAGACACTTGACTCATCAAACAACATTTTAAATTTCACTTCGTCTAGTGAAACTAAGGGAAATAGATATTATGCTCACTCTTAAACATTATACACAATTTACAGCTTTTTATGTGTAACTAGAACTAAGGAGTGATACGATCATATGAATATTTGTGTAAAATAACAGTGTCATCTAAAAGTATCAATAGAATGCTAATAACAATGTATATTTTGCAAACCAGTACATCAACGGTCACGGAATATGTATACATTTATATAAATAAATAATTAGCATTTAGTAAGTAGAGCTTGTATCATATCGAAGTATGTGCGGATGTAGATTAGTCCTGAAATATCATTTTAGGTTTACTAGATACGAAACATTTCAGAAATTATCACGCTTAACCACAAGTCACTTAGAAGACCCAACATTTTTCATCAGTCTTCGTTTAAGAGGATGAATATATCCCTATATTTTAATTTCATTACAGAATCTGTATGCAGGGAAAAGATCCCATGGAGGTCAGAGGTCATCAATCGCACATCTTTCAACATGTCTACAATAAAGTTGGGGAGGAAGAATGACAATCCACAACGCAGAAAAACAATGTTTCAGCAGCTACGTCAACGCAGTAGTCAGTTTTGAACAAGTAAGTTATATTAGTTGGGGTACTTTTTCCTTGAGATTTTACCATAACATGCAGGTACCATGGAAAGTGGTAAAATGAAAAGTATTATGATTCATGTCTGAAGGTTAAGTTTTACGATTGAGTATAGTGGGAAAAAGGTATTTCCTATAGATAACCAGTGGTAGCACTTCATGAAAACGAAAATGAGAGGTCAGTAATTGTCTACTGAAAACTATTCACTCGAACACAATTCGTTAATTATTGTCTGAAGTGAACTGCTGTAAGAATGGATAACACCAAGTGATAGTTAAATCGACCGGTGTTGAACCAGTAGGTTACTCTATCGATCTTGTTTAAGCCGTAATAATAACGGCGTGAGTTATGCCTGTTCATTTCCTACACCTTTACTTAATTTTGGATTTGAATTCACAAGGTGATGACTAGGATTCAAGTACGTAAATAAATGAGGAATAAACCTGGTTGACAGATGTCAGAGAATAAAATCACAAAATTATTGCCATCAACATTATTACCAAGCCTGTTAACTTACCCATAGAAAGCCAGTATGGAACACGAAAACTGGCGGAAAGGACTTGATTTTTCAAATGGGGAAGAGATTGGGCATCGAATGGAAGAGCACCACACACCATGACGTAAAGAATAACACCTAAACTCTAAAAGTGAATAAAGCAAGAGTTTACAAGTTAGGTTGGATTATGAAAGTATTTTATAGAGAATAATTCCTCATCTCACAAATCGTAAATTTTAGTTAAGAATAATCTGCTGTGATTATGAAATGAATAAATGAAGATAGAACTAAGGAAGAGTAGCTCACACTGACGGAAGAATGAACAATTTGAAGTAACTAGTTACAATAGTCAACGATCAATTAACAAGATGTTATTTATTTTTCGGCCATTCTAGTAATAAACAGCTTATTAACGCTCCATAACTAGAATTATAACAGCACTACAACAGGTAACTTAATAAGAAGAGCAAAGCTATGTACGTGGTATAAAACTGTAAGTTTACAAATAACACTGTAAGATTGTCACACATCGAGGAAGCAAAGACACTAGTCCACACACATAAGGATGTGACTCAAAAGCAAAGTTTAGTACATTATTTTATGTTATTGTCGACCAACATTCTATTGGCAAGTATACAGTCAAAATCGTGTTTATATCATAAGTCGACAAGTAGCTCACCGCGATTCATTACCAAATACATATTTTGTACGTAGCTTCGAGCTAATTCTTTTGTGTGAGGGCTAATAATATTAACCATCCACCTAATCCGACGTAAGTAAAGCAGGATATTGAAACCAATTACTTCAACTATAGAGCCAATGATCTACCTATGTCATCGGATCCTGGTCAAATATTGCACCATTTCCAGTTGTTAGTAATTGCCGAAATTCGACAATGTTGTTGCCATTATTAGTATATCTCATATACTGACTAAACTGATGCAAAACATTGTCACTCGACCTGCTACTTTTATAACTAAATTATGTTCAATCAGTCAGTCATAAGTATTATTATTAATTCATTAGCAGGCATATGGTCGTGGCTTCAAGCCACTCAAATTATGGGAGCTAATGACACTACCCGGTTGTCCAAACCTAAGTAGGAGGAGCGGGGTTTGTACCTTACGACTTAGTGGCTGAAAGTCAAACGCATCAGCCACTACTTCATAAGCAATGTAAAACCTGATACCTAAGTGTGCCGGTTCAAGTTACAACACTACGTCAGCACAGAAATCGAATTATCAAGATGAATACTAAAGTGGTAGAAATATCAGTGAAAATTTAAAAACACGGGATAGGAAATATGAATCGAGAAGAATGAATGGATTTGCATCTACGAACACAGCTTAGTCCGACAGGTAATTACCCCATGGACTGATGCTAAGTTCTGGTTTGGCCCCCACAAGCTTTCTTACGGTCTATTTCTACATCTAACCTTAACATTGTCTACTTGGTGGTTTCGCCATAAAAACGAACCGATGTTCAAATACATCTAGCCTTTTGTTACAAAACCTTAATGATCTTTACAAGACATGCAAACAGTGTGCTTATAATGGACCATCAAACTACAAATGGTTTATGTCCCGAGCGAGACAAAAAAACAATTATTGGGAATCGATATTTCAACAATAAACACAGACAACTGAGATTGTCGTTTTGTACTAGTTGGTACTATAACATATATAATATACATCTTTCTCTGAGTGGATATACGAGATATTCAACAAAAAATGAACGCATGACTTTCTAATTCTTCAAAACCAAAAACGTAAGGCTCATTGTAACCAATTTTTAATGAAATTAAAGGGGAAGAATGTATTTGTAAAATCTCAGAGAATGAATTTTGAAGTAAATCCAACGTTTTGCCTGGCAATTTGGTCCAAGCTTTTTCAAGGAAATATAATCAAACATCAAAATTATCGAATATAAATAGGTACATGGTTCTCCGGTTTACTGTTTACTGAATACGTCATCCAGTCAACGTTAACAATGTTTAAAGTGGGTATTTACATTAGTGTGTAAGAAACATGTGTGAAAAACAAAAAGTGTTAAGATAACAGATTATGTGTATACGTAAGTGAGAAGAAATTTCATTCGCTGAAATTTTACAAATACATTCTTCCTCTTTAATGTCTCACATTAACTCGGCGCCCAAATACTGTGAAACTATTCGATCAAATTTAGACGAAAGTTCTTACTCAATTTTTAATGACCTTATACGACTTGGATATTAATCAGTTCAATCATTTTTGTTTCAGAATGCTTATTTCAGTCAAAATTTAAGTTAAAAAGAACTCGAAATCTACGTCATTTCTCGATTGCTCCCGCACTGGTCACAACAAAACTATTTATTGTTAATTTTACCATTATTATTATACAGTGAAGACTGAACTTTAGATACTTAATTGAATTCTATTTAACTAAAATGCAAACAAAGTACAGATTCATATGATTGAAATAGGATTACGACTTGCTTTTCTTGACCAGAAGGTAATGAGATATTTAAATTACCAAACAATCTACGCACCCGATATAAATCTTAATAGACGAAGAGACAAAGCCTAGCATAACTGTTATTAAATAAGCAACACCTACCCAGATATCTGCTTTGACTCCAATGTATGGTTCGCCTAAAAATATTTCAGGTGCAGCATACGGAGGACTACCACACCACGTAGTTAAAAGGTGATTAGGTGAGTTGAAATGTGTGCCGAAGCTAAAATCTAGAATAAAAATAGTTAAAAATCTGAACGTAAAAAACTAGAATAATTATTTATGACATACGTAAAAACGGAGTTTAAGTTTATTTGACTTTTTGTCCATTGAAATGAAGTTGTAGTGTATATAAGCAAATGATTCGATTCATTAAACTAAACTCAAACTTCGCCCCACATTTAAACTGAACAAAGAAAAACAATAAAGTGGAGAATACTGTATGCATCATATTTGAAGATTCTCCTTTAATAGCGTAAAATTGTTACTTCTATGAATAATGTTTTGTTCATTGATTTCGATTCTAAAATTTCGTCTAACATTTTCTAAGTTGATTATACATGTACCTAATGAGTTTAATTTTCCTATAAAACAATTTTCTGGTCACATATCTAGTGGATACATAGTAACCATTTGTCTGAATTATATTTTACATTTTAATTCTATGTGAATGCATTTATTTGATTTTTTATTAAACTCTAAACATTAATTTTACATTCCAACGAGATCTTACACCAAGTGTCACAGCTTAAAATAAAATGGAATTTCCATTAAAATTAAAATTAATGTAACTTAGTAATTAAATATACATATTCGTACACTGGGCTTTAAAACAGGATTTATGCATGTTTGCTGGGCATTTTGTCTTCAAACGTAGAAACGTTAATTAAAGAGGGATTTGGACTCGTAAACAAATGCTAGAAAGCTAATCACTGAAGCCATAGTTTTTCAGTTAATGAAAGAACTTTTATTTTATCATTTTCCCGTACTTCTATGATGCATAATTGTGTTGATTGATAAACGCGATTTCGTTTAACGTTTTTCTGTACACAGAAAAACACAAACACATTAGCAACTTTCAACATATATGGGGGGGGGGCAACATTTTATGGAAACTAGTGTAAAAAGTGGCTTTTAATAACATATCCCATTCTAAGTAACTCAGTTAAATCAATTAGGATATTATTCTATTTGGTGCTATGGCAACTAAATCAATACAAACAATTTGTTTTGAAATACCAAGCGGTTAGTACTTTAAAGCATTTATTGAATGTGAAAATTCGTTAAAAAATTTCGGCTTGCCTCAATGTTACATAAAGATTTTATTTCAGTTTAAAGTGAATTTCTACCAAGTAAATTGTTTTGATTAGGACACATCTACCGTCTGACGATCCATAGTATTTTTGGCAACAATGGAAACTTTTAAAAGAATGCAAAACTATAAGAGGTTCTTCCCTGACTTCTATTCTGAGCTATGGCTAGTAACGCTTAAACCCAATACGTTGCGAAATTTCCGGAACTCCAACTACAGAGTTGAGGTGGATGCTTGACCTATACAATGACCTTTCATATAACGGGGCCATATCATAAACTGACCAGCTCTCCGATTTCTCGACTAGTCCCAACGTCGGAAAATGATGAACGATGTGGAGGCTGCTGAGATGACATCTGTAAAACATATCTGAACCACTGAGGGCGATATAGTATGCCTACTAAGGACCAGTCATCATTAGAATAATGCAATGATGAATTGTTTGACTGATATGTGAAGTTACATATGCGAAGAATCCGTATCTCCGAAGTTCGAGATATGTACAGCTTATGATGGCTAACGAGAACAATACTCAAGCTAAGGTTTATATCCAAACCATCCCAAACCACCCAGCATTAAATAATAATCCATATAAAAAGGACCACTTCAGGATTTTATTCGTGCTTATGGCCGAATTTAGGCATCTGAACGGTGAAATACAAGCCATTTTTATGTGCACACTTAACGTATTTACTAGATCTCTATTAACAACATACTGATCTCATTATTATACCAACAACCACCATAGATAGCTCAAACATGAGTGAAAACAAAGATTATAAAAGTTCAATTTTCGTGTGAACTACCGGATGAGTATTAGTCAGATGACAGTGAATGAAAAAAGACCATAATAACAATAATCTTAAAACATAATTTATGGCATATAAATAACTAGTTGAAAATATTCATTAAAGAGATCATTTCCTTTGCGTCGCTAAAGCGAAGCAGAAGCACTTAGGGTTGATTGGCTTATCCATTTTTTCTACAATGCTAGTACTTTGTTGATAACAAATTTGGAATGTCTAAAATACGGTTTATCGTTTCTTATTATGAATGCTCATGACTGGTCTATGGTGATTTAATAAAAGTTGCACGACAATCGTTTGTACATTGAAGCTTAATTTATCATCGATCGTGATACCCTATCTGGCCTATCAGGGTGAGAAAGAGAGCAGTTTTAGTGTCATGACTAATGAAATTCATAAACAAAAACCTGTTCATTTTGAGCATCACCGAATCGCCATATCCTGTAACTCCGGATCTCAACAGACTGCTACTGTCTAAAAAATATCTTACCACTACCGTTATTCTACATTTTTTTGGAGCCCTGTGTTTATATTCATGCCACTGCATTTAAGTTAGTTCACTTCATAATTACATACCCACAGCTTTTTATTGGTTACTGTACTTCAGATTTGCACTTTGATCTTCTAAATTTTGAAGTAGATATTATTTTAGGACACAAAAAATACGATCTAAAAATATGAGAATGACGCACTGTGAGGATGACAAGTGTTGTGTACGAAATGAAAAAGTAATATTGTTCTTTATCAAGACTCATCTTGTTTGTTCATATCCAACCAAAGTTAAAACTAACGACCTGTCAAACCGCCAGCACAGAAGTCGTATTTTTAACAGACAGAAAATAGAACTGTACAATTTAATAAACTTCCATGGTCACTAATATAAATATCTACTTAGTACAATCATATAAAAACTAACAACAAAACTTTGAAACGTAACTCCTGATTTATGTTTTCATGTATATTTGGAATATATTATGGTTTCATGTGAAGCTGTGATAAAATTTTACTAACTACCATACATCATTATTTAGTGCTTTCAGACAGCCAACCTAGAACCTGTACGTATGTACAGGTTGTACAGATTAATCTTTAAGACGTTAAGCAAAATCAGTGGTGTTGGGTCAATGGCTTCGACTTTTAAGAATTAACACAGTTTACAACAAATCAACATTGCACCAATTAGTCAAAAATCAAATGATTATTAATTAGTATTCCATATCTTAAGATACATAAACAACTCCAGAAACGGCGTCAAAATTTCATAAAACAACCAGTATATTTGGCAATATTTACCCGCTAATTTGATATTCATTTCTGAATCTAGCAATATGTTTTCAGCTTTTAGATCTCGATGTACAATACCACAAGAGTGGGTGTAATCGACAGCCGAAAGTACATCCAGAAATTTGATCCGAGCATCAACCTCAGAAAATCTTCCATTCGTAGCTATGTAGTCTAAAAAAAACACAATATTCAGACTGAAAATAAGATGAACATGCAAATCGGAGCTATTGATGACAGTAGACTATCTACTGATAACTAAAACTTCTGAGAGAATTATCGCTACCTCACCGGCTACAATCACATATAGCCATATAGCCTAACAACAAGTAGCTAAGGACGATCAACATAGCGAAAGTGTATAACTATTATGAAAAACAAAATCTACACAATAGTATTTAGTAACAAGGCAAGTGTATGGTTTTTATTTGCGGCAAAACAATGAACACAATAGCACCATCAGTATTAACATGTTTGTTAAAGCCATGTATAGAAGTGAGGGTTAGACATAATTAAATCATTATTCCTCTTCCATCGTGCAGGAGCATAAACCGCTCACCAGCATTCTCCACACAGATCTGATCTCGACAGTCCTATCCAGTTGTTCCCACTTGCTAATCATCCTTCTTCGGCCTTCCCGATTTCCGTTTCCCTTCACAATTCCAAGTTAGAGCTTGCTTCGTGATGCAGTTTGGTGATTTCCACAATGTATGTACTATCTACTCCCAGAGTCTTTCCCTCATTTCCTCTTTAGATGGAGGCTGGTTTGTTCTCTCCCACAAAAGGCTGTTGCTGACGATATCCGACCAACGGATATTGAGTATCTCACGTAGACAACTGTTTATAAATACTTGTATCATTTTGGTGTTGGTTGTAATAGTTCTCGAAGTTTCAGCTCCGTACAGTAGAACTGTCATGACGTTCGTATTGAAGATTGTCACTTTGATATTGGTTAAGAGACAGTTGTTTTGAGTTTCATATGTTGTAGAATTATAGGAATGTTGCCCTTGCTTTGCCAATCCTGGTACCGATAGTAGTGTTATGCATCGGTAGTTTTCACATTTGCTCAGATCTCCTTTCTTTGGTATCTTGGTGAGGTGTCCTTCTTTCCAGTCTGTCTGTGGCACTTGTTCCTCCTCTATCAGGTCGCACTGCTCTCCCACTCTTGATTTGTCTGATGGTCACAACTGATTTCTCCGATCGTTGGTGGAGTGACATCTATAGGAAGGTCTGTGTGTGTTGCTTCGATGTCCAGTGAATTCAATGGAGCTGGCCTATTCATGAGTTTCTCAAAGTGTTCTACCCATCTGTTCCTCTGTTCTCGAATCTCAGTGATTGTCTTGCCTTCTTTGTCCTCAACCAGTCTGTCTGGTTTACTATAATTGCCCACCAGTTTCTTCGTCGTGTCATATAGTTGTCTTTTATTTCCTTCAGTTGGAGCTTTTTCCACCGTCGTTGCTAGCTGTTCCACATATTTCTGCTTGTCAGCTCTAATGCTCTTCTTTACTTGCTTGTTTGCTTCGGTGTATTCAGTTTGTGCCTTGGATCTCTCTGTTCTTGTTCGATTGTCGTTAAATTCTGCCCTCGTGTTCTTCCTTTCGTGAATCCAAAACAGGGTTTCCGTAGAGACGCACTCCTTTTTGGTGATGCTCCTTGCAACCCAGAACCTCCTGACACGTCGAAGTTAGTGTTTTCCTGATCCATTTCCAGTTCTTCCCCATAGTAGCTTCTTCTTCTTTGAGTAGATCCTGTAAGACCTGGAACCTGTTGTTGAGTGCTATGTTGAATTGGTTGAGTTTGTCAGTATGTGGAAGGAAGTATGTATTAAACCTTTGTAATGCTGTTTTCCCAGTTGTCCATTGCTTCTTTAGCTTCAGTTTGATCTTGGCCACAACCAGGTGGTGATCTGAAGCAATGTCAGTTTGTCTGCTGGTTCTCACGTCTTCCATTGACCTGCTGAAATTTTATTGACGAAAATACGATTTATCTGTAGATGAGGGTTAAAGCATGTGAGATACTTGTAATCTATGATTGGTGATTGTATCAAATTACTTGAACTAACATCTATTTCTGTGACGCCCCAAGTTGCTATTGCTCGTTATTTCTTATACTTATACTCCAAACTAAGTTGTTTATAACCTTTTACTAGATGTTGCATTTTATCAACTCTAGGTTTTACGACTGAGATATCGCACTCCAAGTTAACTGTTTTCAGTCTACACAACGCCTTTTCGCTTTGCTAGAAACACTTTAATGTGGACAGCTTGTGGAACATATTTCTTGACACAATGTGGCTGAAAGCTAAGCATACCAAACTGTATGTGGGAGATGATTTAAAAGGCAGTTAGTCATCGCAATGAATTTCGGCAGAAATTGAATGATTAAAATTTACCTGATAGGACCTTACACTTGATTATTTCCATTCAATAAACCAAATGAAATACGAAATCTAAAATAGTAAGACAATGAGACGCCATAATAAGTAGTCTCTGCTTTCAATTTTGTCATCTGATCTTAAACCACACAGTCAGAAAATTAGATTCTAATCAAACCTATTTGCGACGTTATATCATATCAAATGCAACCAAACTACTAGGGCTACGTGCACTAAAATAATTATGTCTCAAGCAGTTATGTGGTTTCCAGCATTTTATTCACACTAATTTTTAAATATCCCGGAAGCTTCTTAGTTACCAACAATAAGTTTGTCTTATTACTTGGCACTAAGTAAGCATAAGTGAGCTGACCAAAATGTTTGCAACCTTATCCATTAGAATTTTTATCATCAGGAAGATGAACAATTGTTTGAGTGAAACAATTTTCATGACTTGTGACCGCCAATTAGAAGGCAGTGACTTATCGATGAATCATATTTTAAACATACTGAGTTTAGATACCAGTCAAACAGACCACAACGTACCAATAATTAGCCAGATGTGGCTGTGAATGAGGGAGGTAGTAATTAATATACTGGGTATAACTCAAGAACGGTAAAACGTATAATAATAGTTTATGGGTCAAAATAAAGCTTATAATAAAAGGAACATGAATATGCATAGTTTAGTTACTTAATAATTATACAATAGAAATATACGTTTAGTATTGGTCCATCAATAGGTGCCAAAAGTTACCATTCATTATTCCTGTCGGGACATAACAATACTATGAAGTACACATATGTTAACGAATATTAATACCAGTGGTTAAATAATTACCTTTCTCAGTTTTCTAGTGAGATTTATAGAACTTATTTGTCACCTAGCATTTAATTACTGATAAACACAGACCATTGACATGGAAACACTGAAATGACTATCAAAATTACAAACTTTAAAAGCATGACAAGGAGTTGAGATGTACAAAGGGACTCACCAAATAGCTCGCCATTTGAAACATACTCCATTACCATACAGAGTAGTCGCTGAGTTTCCATAACCTGAAACTTATCACCACAAAGAATGTGTTTACCTGATAAAGTTTTACGATATTTGAATGATGAAGCTCCTTCAAAATATCAGATTCCCTGTATATTTTTTTGAGATTTTCAGGACTTAGACGGGATTTGTCAATGATTTTTATTGCAACCTACGAAGTCAAAAGAGAGGGAACTAACATAAATTACGAATATTCCAGTTATGGTGTGCTTGGCGAGCTTGACTGACGAGAATATCCCTTTCCCAATGGTTCTTTCAATAACGTACGTACCCAACTTCGGTTTTGATGTATCTTGATGTTGATCAGGGAAGTTGGTAGTTGAGGTACTACCTATGCTTGGAGCCAGCTCAGCGATGTCCGATTCCATATTATGACGGTTAGTAACTTTCCTCGTACTACAACCAGGTGCACCACACACACAAAAGTTCCCCGAATCTTTATCCTGACAATAATCAGGTGATGTTTCGGATGCTAGAGAACACTCAGTAGTACAGGAATGTCCATCAGTCACTCCATCTAGGCCAATACGGCCATGTTCGCATGCGTTCATTTCCCTTGCAGATGACTTAGCATTGAAATGTGTGCATAGAAATTATAATCCGAGGTAACCGAAATAGGAACAATCATCTGGTTAATCTAACCCATAAATTTGTGGAATAGAGACCAAAAAACGCAGAGTATGCAGCCGATGTACGGCAGCAGTTAAAGATTAATGGAACAAAGTTCAATTAGTACCTGACAGAATGGTTAGGAAGACAAAGCGTACAATATCTCAACTAGACAATAAAGAATTAACGCCAAGATAGAATTTAAAATGAGTGGTCCAGTTCAATAGTAAACGAAGACGAAATAACCATAATAATAGTCAGTAACATATGTTACTGACTATAGTCAGTAGACACGTTGCAAAACAACAGCCGAGACGATCCAGAAAAATGATTGGTAAAAATAATGATATTCCGAAAAATTAATAACTAACAGAGCCGTATGACAGAAATAATAGACATTAATTTGGGTTCCAAGTGACAACACCCAGCAGTGAGTCTGCACCCCAACACTAGACTCGAACAAGCCGCCAGATCTTTGAGATTTAGAGCACAAATTTCATTGCATGATTTAAACAAACATCAAAGACTTCTGTGATGAGCCATAAGTCCAGATAGTTCGATGTATCCGGATGATTACTGCATATTAAAGTGTAATTTTCGCCAGCGACTCCATACCATGTGTTTGAATAATTCTCAGTCGTATGTTATTGAGATGCCACTGTAGCGTAACCCATTATGGAAAACAAAAATAATATATATATCGAATTATGGGACCATAAAATCATATACTTAACAACTAAAACAGTTCTGTATTCAGGATTTGTTTGTCGTACAGAAATTAACCGAAAGTGCTACATATAATATATTGTTTAGACATTAAAAACGTAAAGAACAACTTCAGACGACAAAAACGAAACCATAAGGCTGCCTTGAAAGCATTTTTATATAGTTCGTTGTATTTTTCTTGAGTAGGTAAGCGGAATGCGGTCTAGGGCGACAACAGTGCAGAGGTCAATTAATCCCAGAAATAAATAATTTTGCAATTCTTTTGCTTTGACTCTGTTTTAGATAGTTTTATTAAACATCCCCAACTAAATACGTTCGATCAAGTATCCGCCTCAGACCATTTTTAGGTATGCCGTTTCAAAGATCTTTTCTGATATGTCTGATTAAGTTGCATGCGCTTAGACACCTCCAACGTCATTCGTATATATATCTTTTCATCTCTATGTTTTCGACTTCTGGACCCCCTGGTTTTACAAATCATTGCAAGAGAGGAATTACTGTACGACACTGCTCGAAACGCCATACACTCAACATCATCATTGGTAAGTTCCGCAAGATACAGCACACCAAACGCTACGCCTCAAACTTGTTCTTCCTTTTAATGTTTTACATATATTTTCATAGATTGTGACATAATCCAGTGTTTTAGACCTACTTCCTCGCATATTTACAGATTTCATTATTTTTCATTATATCCAAACACATTCAAAGTTTTAAGAAAAAAATAAACCGAAACCTCCAGCCTGCACTAAAGTCATTCTAGACGAAAAACATCAAAGTTTTGTTTTGCTGTCCAGAAGCTAACCCTCAGAAGTGCGGCGTGTGCAGTTTCTATTTTCGACTAAGCCAATACCACACGAGTTCGGTGAAAATCGTCCTCTTATACCTAGTCCTTATACACTAAATCAAAGGAATAGTGCTCGAAAATGTTATATATTGGAATTCTTTTGAAAACTGGAATTAGGATAGCCTCACACCGAGGGGGTTATTCCTCAACACAACAGCAAGTCCGGAAGACGTTGTCAGGGGTTCAGCCAGTAGTTCCACATAAACATTCTTGAAGATAGTAAATTTTCATAGGACCATATATATCACTCTAAATGTTGAATTAATGACTGAAATGGAAACTGATACGTAAGGTCACCCTGTTATATGCTAGTGAGCTCCACAAAAACAGCCTCAAAGCAAGATTTCTTTGCTTTTTTTGGAAATATCACTGATATAATTATGAAGGACGGCTATTTCGTTTATTACGTAATCAAAGGTCGTTCCCTCAAATTTCACCAACTGTTGAAAATGGCTTATTCTTAAACCGATGTGTTGTAGCGTGTGGAATGCAGGTTATGGAGAAGCGTATTTATCCATCGATTCAGTGACACATAAAACATGTACGGACGACCTGGAGTCTCGATTGGCCCTGCTTCGCTGTCTAGCCCAGCCAGTCGAGTCCAGAACACAAGCCACAGCCTCTGAGATATGAATCGTTGTATTTCAAACATACTCTGTTTATATACCAACCAAACAGACCACATCGTACCACAAAAACAGAAAACAATATCTGTACAATATTTAACAAGTGAAATAAATAATGGCCAATAGGGAATGTCCATTTAAGGTCCAAGGACATCATTAGACTTAACATGATAATGATTGGTATATTCCTCTGCATCCCTAACACTATGGACTCGGATTTCGTAATTCTGTAAGTCCCACAGTACGTCAGCAACATGTGCTGACGAAGTGGTTGTATCAGAATTGTAATTTTTATTTCTTTGTATAGGGACTCACTACGTCGATTCAAGCATAAATGTACATTCAACCTTGATTTGATCACGTCTAGAAACAAATGAAAGTACCATTGATTTTCATTACTAGTATTTTTAGTCGGAGTCAGACCTATAGTTTCCTCTTGCTTTAACCACTACACGACTGGTACTAACACAACCAATGTACTTTCAGGTGAATGGGTGACCAACATCCATTATTTACATTCAGTGCTAAGGCACGAAAAGTCAAGGTGTACAAACAGAAACCCAGTTGACAAATAAATATCGTCATTAAACTGATTGTTTAGGTCCTTCACCCACAAGTTCCATTCAAATTCATTCATGTAGATCAATACAAGTGTAGAGGTGGTCTCTTCTGCAGTAGACTTCAACATACACAAGGGAAATACCAGCATCCACAAATACAACACAGAGAACACCAACCAAACCAATCACACTTGATGAAGAAACTCTGCAACAGGTGGAAACTTTCACGTACCTCACTGGTCAGCATCATCGATGAACATGGCGGATTTGATGTAGACGTCAAGGCGTGGATTAGCAAAGCAACAACAACATTCCTACAATTCTACAACATATGGAACTCAAAACAACTGTTAGTTATGTCCATGACGAACCAGTCAAATAGTTGTTTAAGCGCCCACCACGTTGATCTTGTCTGATGTGTCTGTAAACTAACCCTGCTGCATGTGACCTACCAGTCGAAAGACATTATTGTCCTACTATGTTAGTGTGATTCATAATTTTTATTCATTTCGATTAGACACGCAATGCTAGTCGGTATGTTTGTGTGTATCACTTAATGACTGTGATTCCTTTAAATATTGAACTATTCTATTTGTTTTTAAGTTTAGAAACAGATAACGTTTAAAACCAAGTTGTCCTTGTTCTGACAATAGCTTTCACAAAGACTCTTGGTTCGCCAGCATCGCGTTTACGGTCTTAGCAGTATATCTGTAGGACAAATTAAATCCTACAACGACTGTCTTTTAACCAATATCAAAGTGACAATCTTCAACAAGAACGTCATGACAGTTCTACTGTACGGAGCTGAAACTTCGAGAACTATTACAACCAACACCAAAATGGTACAAGTATTTATAAATAGTTGTCCACGTAAGATATGTATATCCTATCTACTCCCAGAGTTTTCTCCTCATTTCTTCTTCAGATGAAGGCTGGTTTGTTCTCTCCCGCCATAGGCAGTTGCTGATGATATCAATTGTAGTCAAAGTACAAGGTAATAATTACATAAGCATATGAAAATTTGACAGTCTATAACTTGCTGAAAACAATAAACCTCCCCAGCTATAAGAAAAGAAGTTTTCATTCCTTATGGATAGATAAAATCAACCAAATAGGAAGAGACTACTCAATAAATGATTGCCGAAAATCGGGAACTTCAGAATGCTGAGCTTAGCAGAAGAAAACTAACACAGTCAGTAAAGAAGAAATTGAACCAAAGAAACGATCGAAACTGAAAGTTAGAACGAATGGAACAACTTCGATCAAATTAAACTGTGGATGAAATGTTCATTTACTGTAGAGATTTAGGGGAATGCTGTTACACATGTTGAGACAAAGTAGTTACATCAAAAGAATACATTGAGAGATTTCTTTATGCATACACGTGAATGCTTACATTAAAGGATTTTACGGTCGATATTCGGGATGTATCTTTTGGAGGCTTACAAGACTAAACATTCTTATTCAAATATATTGCACATCTATATGCAGTTGAATTAATGGCTGCAACCGATATCTTGAAGTCTAGTGTAGAAAGTTTGTAAAGTGGAGTGTACATTGCTTTTATTAACAATACTCTTCATTCCCATTGAATAAGAGCGGAGCAGAGTCTATTAAGTCACCGAATAATAAACATAAATACTCATATATTTCTCCCTTCTAAAAAAGCAATCGGTCTCTTGGCCAATGACAAGCATGTGTATTTCATTTCAACTTTGATTGCAAAAAGTGATTGTTAGGTCCCAATAAACATAATGAATGGTTCCTTTGGGACCCTTTTATGGACCAATACTAAACGTATATTTCTATCGTATAATTGTTAAATAACTAAACTATTCATATTCATGTCCCTCTTATTACAAGCTTTATGTTGACCTATGAACCATTATTATCCGTTTTACCATTCTTGAATTATGCTCTGTATATTAGTCACTGTCTCCCACATTCACAGCCACATTCGGCCAAATTTTGTACAAATGTTATTTTCTATTTTATGCTACGTTGTGATCTGCTTGATTGGTATATAAACAGAGTATGTTTAAAATGCATTATTCATAATGTAGAAGCTGAGATTGGTGTTCTGGACGTAACTGGCTGGGCTAGGCGGAAAGCAGGGCCAATGAGAACTGCAGGCTGCTCATACGGGTGTACGCGTCATTGTTCCGATCGACAAGTCACTGCTCTCTAATTGGCGGCCACAGGTTATGACAGTGATCTTGTCTGGCTACTTCTGATTGGCTCACTTATAAGCTACTATTACGAAAATTTCAAAATGAATCTACCTGAACCATGTTTTTTTCCGAAGTGTACATGTTACGTCCTTGATCTTTCTACTCGACAATATACAGAAGACAGCGTGTATCAATTTAGATTAAGTCCTTGACATGATAGACTAACCGATTTAACCTTAACGCTAGAAATGCGTGGTCTGTATTGAGACTAACTACTTTGGATAAGAAAGATGCAAACTACTCTATCACCCGAATGGTCGGCAAGCGCGCATGGGAGAGAAAACGAATCAACTGGGACACTACTAGATTAATTCCCGATTACGAATTCCAATTCAGATTGGAAGGACGCTATAGTTAGTCCTATATTTAAGGACGGTCAGCGACAGATAGTATCTAACTACCGGTCTGTCAGTCTAACTAGTATAGTCGTTAAGTTACTTGAAAAGATAATTCGGGTTAGGTTGCTAAACCACATATATTTACACAATCTGTTAGCTCCTGAGCAGCACGGATTTCGTAACAAGCGTTCATGTTTGACTAACTTGCTTATTGCGAGAGAGGATTGGACAGCAGCCTTAGATAACGGTCTGTCTGTCGATGTCATATTCATAGATTT